CCAAGCTGGGAAATTGCAGCTGTCACCCAGACGCATGTTAAGGGGTGTTTCAATTACTCCTCCTTCATTTATATATAATGAGGGTAGAGTAATTGAAAAGCTTAAAAGAAAAAGAAGACTTCCATACATTTTAATAGACTTGTCTGTGTTCATTTATTGGATGTTTTACTGACTACAAAAGTCAGGGACAGCTTGAAGCAAGGTTAAGCAGAGTCAACACCTTTTCTTGACAGTTTGAGCCACAATAAATCACTGCTCTGATAAACTTACCTGTACTGCCTTTGAAGCTCCAGGGCCGTGGCTGAAAGGTCCACATACTGACAGCTGCTGGACGCCAGATACTGAAAACAGAATTCAGCATAAAAAAAGATGACTGATACTGATATCAGAAGTTCAGACAGTTTCGGTTCACATGGCAATGTAACAGGAAAAATAACATGGAAACAGCATTAATTAATCTGAGAACAAGAGCAGACTCAGGGGGTTACATTTATCACCGCTGTAGTCTCCCTCATGATGTCCTCTGATGGTAGGACAGTTACCATACTGTCCCATTATTTAAGACTTATATTTAGGATTTATCATCTTGTCCTGTTCAGTTACTGTTTGAAATAAATTAAAATTAAGTTTATTATTGCTATTATTACCTTGCTTGTTAAAAGACTGATAAAAAGTTTACTGTCATAGAGGACTAAAGAAAGCAGAAAATATTCACATTTGAGAAGCTGGAAAAAAAAAACAATTTATTGATTATAAAAATATTTAGAGATTAATTTAAAACTATTTGATTAATCAATTAATAGTTGCAGCTCTAAACTCAGTGTGTTTCTCAGGCTGTACCTGCTCCACTCTCTGTTTGAGCCGACTGTCCAGTGAGCCACCACTTCTGTTCTTCATCTCTGAGCTTCTCTGAGCCGGCAGCAGGACTTTCAGGACAAGACTGAAAAGAGAAATGTAAATCAAATCATATGTCTGTCAAAATAATGGCAGTATGATGTTTGTATCACATCGTGCAACCAAAGACTCTTGTCATAAATGACAAAGAAAAGCAGCAAATCAAATCCTCACATTTAAGAAGCTGGAACCAGTGAATATTTGTTATTTTTGCTTGTAAAATGACTGAAACGATTAATTGATTATCAAAATAGTTGCCAACTAATTTTCTTGTGACCGACTAATCAATGAATGGTTGCAGCTCTCCTCTCAAAGCAGTGAGCGACATACATACACACTTACATATAGGAAGCATCGATAAGGGTTATTTCCATCATAATCACAACTTTAATCATTTAACTATAATCTTTTTTTTATTAACAGATGAGTAATATAAAAATATCAGTAGGCCTGGATTAATCAATAGAGAAGTCTGTTAGATGGCACGTACTCATAGAACTGGAGTTACATCCAAGAACTACTATTTATCAATAATAATAGTTAGCTACTATATCTGTTGTAAAACATGAGGTAAATCATTAGCAAGCTAGCAGAATGTCACAGTTTTAACCTCCTTACTTCATGGCACAATAACATTTCCTTTCATACATAACGAACTGTAAGTTAGAGAACTTATAGTGACATATTTCCAGGTGGTTGTAATGTGGACAGACAGAAGTCAACCCAAACACTCTCAACAGTTCACTGACAGCTTTAAGGTGACACGTCGTAACTAACCTTAACAAAAACACCTCCACATAGCCAAATGTCTCCAATTCTTCTTCTTTTGGGTTTACAGCCTTACCAACTCTCCCGTTAAACTGACTATAAACTGTCTTTAGAGTCTGGCAGCGTGATAACAAGACACACTACTGACCCCGGAAGTTAATTTACGAACGTAAACGACATGACCCGCCCTACGCGACCTCTGATTGGCTTACCATCTGACATTTTTACCAATCGCGCTCCTCTTTTATACATTTAACCAACCCAAACAAATGAAGGTAACGAGAAGTAGCCAATCAGAACGGTCAGGACGTCGCCACGCTAAGACAATGAATGGCATCCGGGTGACGGTTTTCAAAATAAAACAGGGTCTTTCGTCTTTCCATTGTTTTGTTTTTTTTATGTATGTGTACAAACAACAACCCTACATCATACAAAAGTCAAATAAGAGTGCATACAAAAAACAAAACAAAAAACATTTGGGCAAAGCCAGTCAAAATACATACATACACAAAATATAAATAATAATTACTAAATAAATGATTCGTAGTATCATCACAAAACACACAGTTGTTGGTTTAAGATCCAAAACAAATGCATAGTAAATAATACATTTATTGTTTACTTTATACTGTTGATTTTGGAAGTATTTCAGTACACCTTGTGTTGTACAAAATAAACTCAATAAAACTATGTTTGTTTGAATGAGATCCTTTGTAGTTAACCCTTCTATATGAGGGAAAAACAACAACAACAAGGAATTAACACAAAATGATTGTTGTAAAGTTGAGTTGAACAGAAAGAAAGCTCCTATTTTTTTTTTAAACAGTACTAATAAAAATGAATTACATTTTACATATCAATGATATATTATTGAGTATAATTACCTACATTTATCAGTGAATGAATCTGGATTCATTCACAGCCGTGAATTAAATTTAAACCTTCTTCTTTCTTAGATTCTTACAATTACAGTGTTTACAAAAAATAAGAGTACACTGTACAGTTACACTGCAATACTGTAATAAGGCATTGTAATTATACAGCCTGTAAAACTTTATACATTTTGTTAACTATTGTTTTTATTTTTTAGAGTTGTTGTTGAGTTGTTTGTCATCCCATGTTGGCGTTCAATATGGAACAAGCTGTAACAGAGCATGCTCTCACTTTCACTTCCTCCCTCAACTAGTTTGACAGCTGTACTTCCTCATTATTAGTTTGACAGGCTGGCAGTGTGTCGGTCGGTGTGTCGGTCATGAAGGACGGTATCAGAGCCGAGGAACAGGTGGACGTTTCCCGCCAGGAGCTGTATGAGGACTATGTGAGCTGGTACCTCCACCTGTGTACCGAGGTCCAGCCGTGCCGCGATGCCGGGCTGCTGAGGAAGGCGGCTCGGTATCTGCTGAGGGAACCAGAACTCCGAGGAGCTTTCACACTGTTCCCATTCTACCAGGCTGTGAGCGAGGGCTGTGGAGCCCTGAGCTCAGACTGCAGGAACCTGCTGTCTGCTTTCATCAAAGCCACAGAGCTGCTGGAAACCCTCTGCGTCAATCTGTTCCTTCAGCCCTGGAGAAAGGAAATCAGGACACTGAAGGTATTTCTTTCTTTCTTTTTCTTTCTTTCTTTCTTTCTGCCAGCCACTTCCAGGTACCTTTCAGGTAACCAGGTAACTTAATTACCTCTTGTCTGGAATTCAAAGGATGTGTGCTGCACTGGGTCAGAGTTTAGTATTCTCTGTATTCATTTCTGTTGTGCAATTCTGTAGTACTGTCACAATACTGAAGGACATTTATTTCTTTATTGTAAGTGTCAAATGCTGCAGTAAAACTGTCATGGTTCTGGGATTAAGCCAAGGTTGTAGCCATGGAGTCTATGTTTGGTCTGGGGGCGTGTACTACCCCTCAAAAAAGTTTTTAAAAAGTCTTCTAAATTTAAAAATCCATTCCCTTCCGTTTGCAATATGTGGAGGCCAACAGGAGTCAGTATTTGCTCAGATAACACTTTATATTAAAGGTACACATACAGTGTTTAACAATAAATAGTCCCTTATAAGCATACATATTAGTACACTGTAAAACCAGATAACTTTTTACTTAGAAATTTAGGTAAAACTAACTGAATTTTGTAAGTTAAAACAACATTCTTACAACCCTCACCACAACATACACCTAATTCTTTTAGTATTTTTTAAAAACAATTTTCAGTGTAAATTTGCTTAATGCGTTTTTTCCCACCTGTATTCAGAAATAAATGTTGGTGGGAAAAAAACATTGCATTTAGGGGTGCGTTCAGAAGTGCGATGTTTAATTTAAGACCAATGTATAATTACATTTGCTAATGTTTATTGCAGACAGCGCTGCTCGGTTGCATGTCATAGCATAACATTTGTTTCTATCAGTATATTGGGGGAGACATTTTGATGTGGATTATGTGTGTTATGTTATTTTTACATTATATATAGGCTAGTAACCTAACCCTAACCCTAAACTGCATTACAAGAAAGCTTCCTTTCAAAATGTGACAGTTAACACAAAACAGCTGATTGCCCCACAGGCTCCCATTAGATACAACAATACCAAACACATTTCTCCTGAGGGTGGCCCCACAGAGGACTGCTAAATCCTAAATTAAAACTCAAGCCCTTCAAGCATGTAGAAAAAAAACTACAGTGGCCATGAAACTTGAGCCTATCTAGAGCCAGTGTTTGGTTTGTCCATTCTGGGCTACTGTAGAAACATGGTGGTTCAAGATGGTGGCCTCCGCAGAAGGTAACAAAGGCACTGTGATTCTTATTTTCAAGTGATTATACTCTAATGAAAACATAGCTATGAATATTATATTCCATTTCTGACAAAAGATCCTCCTAAATGTTACACACTCAACCTTTAATGAGGAATATACACCGTATATAGGCAGAGCATCAGATTAAATAATAAAGTTATTCAAATAAAATGAAGACACACCCTCCTCAAGAACTCAAGACCAGGAGGTAAAGCAAGGTCCTTATCATGTTGAGCATGTCAGCTTATCTTCTGCTTTAAAGGTGAGTATTTCCAAATAAATGTGTTCAGCATTATTATTATTATTATTATTAACACCCTGTTGCATTATCCCATAAATTGTGTCAAAGGTGAAAGTTTTACCACAAGGGTTCCATTATAAAACATTCTATTCCATACATAACTAAGGTTCACTCAGGTTGAAAAGTTTACCTAAGGGTAGTATTAGAGGACAAGAGCCTGTTAATTTAATCATAATCAGTATTAGGGGTGTAAGAAAATAAAGAAAAATATTGTGATTGTGAAATTTTGAGATATTGTAGTGACTCTTAACCACACTGTATCGATTTTTTTTTTAAGCCCAAACTACTAGATATCAGTGTTGTGAATATAAACTGAAATCTATGATGTTGGACGTTACAGGAACATTTTGCTCAGATTTTATGCATATTGTTGTTTTACACAATATTTTTGTTAAAATTTTTAACACCTTGAAATACAGCCTTTTACATTCATATAATCAACACAACATAAGATTGTTACATTTACTCAAAAAAGGGAAAAAACAACTCAAAACTAGAATAGTTTTAACAAATGGCAATCTATTCATAATTGACTTGAATATATTAATTGCAAACAATGTTCCTCTAGTTTCCGTAAATTTTGTGCATATATCTGGTATGTTTTTATTATATCTATTTAGTTCCATCGTTGTCTCATAAGTCCGCATTTAGCATTTATACTGTATAAGTTCACGGCATGTATTTAAAGATTTAGTATGAGCATTAGTGCAAGCTGTTTTCCAATATTCATCTGAAATTTTCCTTGTAATATATTGAATTGTAACCACTTTATTGTGATACGTATCATATCGCCAGACTCTTGCCAATACAGAGTCCTAATCAGTAATCATTAGGTTTTGGATATATACACATGGAAATAATTATATGACTGTCCAAAATGTTAAGGCATTTCTGCTGAGGAACCCAGATGTACTCTGTAATGTTAACAGCAGTATGGTGTTTACCGGTAGATTTAGACACTACTACTGGTGTACAAGTCAAGGATATTTAGGCCTTATAGTTAGAGCTTTTATTATCATAGACCAAATTGTTGGTCAAAGAGAAATTAAGACTTGACAGAAAAGTCCCCTTTTGCACATAGTTACGTTATTTTGGAATGAAAGCCCTGTAATGGTTTCAGATAGTATCAGTTGTTCTACTTCCTGTTTCTGTACAGGATGGGGAAGACAGGAAACACCTGAAAGAATTAACACTGAGACACTGACACTATGACACAGTTGGCAGTGGGTAATGAGACAGGAGATCAGAATATGAAAATGTAAAATCCAAATTTCTGACAGAGCCTACCTACCCCACCTATTCCTTCCTACCCCATAAATATCGTCACACTTCTTTAAAGACCAAAGTTAAGAGATCCTTAATAATTTTTTTTAATTTAGTAATAAATGAAATGTATTCTGTTTGTCTGTGTCTCTTTCAGACGTTTACAGGTCCATTTGTTTACTGTCTCCTGCCGGTTTTCAGCAGTTCTACAATTCAATCAGTCCTGGCCTCTATTGGCTACCTGCCCAATCCTGACGCTCCACAAAGGTAGGGAACAAGGAGAAGACAAACCAGAACAAAATCCTGTAGACATCAAGTCACAAATTTCCATGCCAGGAAACACATCCTCTATAGACACACATCCACTTGTAAACAGTGTAATAGCCCTGGACTTCAGTCAAGTGAGTCAGACTGAAAATGTCAAGAAAATGGCACCTCATAGATAATAAGTCTTATTTTCTTTTCTCTCTTTAATTTAATTTGACAGATTGAGGGACAAAATCTCCATCTGATGTCTTGAAACTGCTGACTCAAGTTTAATGTTAAAGCGTCCAAAATCCAGTAATTGGAATTTGAGGTCATAAAATGTATATAATGAAGTTAACATTACTTGTACAAAGCTGAATTTTTCAAATTCACTTTTAAATGAGTTTCTGGGAACAATGTGTATTGATCATCTGTAACAACTCCAAAACCAAACCGACATGAAACCAATACTGATTTTCCTTCAAATCCTTTGTACTTTCTTGCCAGTATGGATGTTAAATAAGAATCCACTGAGCCTGAACAAAAACAACCAATCAGGGGTCTCATTTATAAAACTGTGCGTGGAAACGTTAGTAAAGTGACGTTGACGCCCCCAAAAGCCAATGGTTGCGTTGCG